GGAACAAAGCGTGTGCTGAGGACTTTGTCACTGCCGGAGCGCCCGGCTGCCAAGCTGCGCTGTGCCCAGGGGCAGCAGGGAGTGGCACAGATGTGGCAGCACCATGAAGAGGAGGACCACGGCAAGCCCCTGCTTCCAGCCCACTGCAGGGGGCTGTGTGTGGTGGAACTGACCTTGGTGGGTCCAACCTGGTGTTCCTCCAGAATTTTCTGTGGGAATATGCTGTGTTTTCTTGCATTGCTGTGGCTGACAAAACCAAAATAACATTACAGGACATTATATGAGGTGTGCATTCTCTCCCTTGGTTACAGAGGAAAATTTACTGTCAATCACTTGTTGTCAGTCTGTACTCTTGTCCAAAAAGTGTCTGGAAACGGGCAAAAAGTGTGCACTGTGGAGATGTACTGGAGATTTCTTTTATGGGAGTGTCTGTGTTTTTATTGTATCTCACCCAGGAGGCCCTTGAAGTATAGGGTGAATCTGAGACACAGACTGTGCTGTCCTTATTATCTTTATAGACAACTGAAAACCTTTTGGGAAGGAAGCCAAGGCTGTCCACATCATCAGCAATCACCCTGAGAACCCTGCAGTCCTGGCTGGCTATTAAAGCAAGCAGAAGTTGGGGTTGAGAGGCTTCCTTTGCTTCTTGGACAGATAGGGAAATGAAGATGGTCTAGTCAGTCACAGAAAATGCTTGGCACGAAGGGAAAGGAATGGTTAAGGTTACACAAGTGAAACATGACAACCTTTGCTTTCATTTTTAAGTCAAATAGCTCAGAATGAGATCTTATCACTCAAGACTTGAATTAATCATGGGGCAAGTGTTTTAACTGAAAGAAATAGATCAAATTATAAAGGCAAGCTGCTACCAAGTTCAATGGAAACTCAAAAGAATGAGGAGGAATGAAGAGAGAGATCTGATTAAGATTAATAAAAATATTATCTGCACCTTAGGGAATGTTGGTATTCTCAAACACAAATTCCAAAGTCAAGAATATAGTGCTTTAGTTCTCCATCAGGACACTGGGCTGGGTAAGAGCTTGAATTCTTTCAGAGTGGGATAAGTCCTCCAAGATGAAGAGGCTGACCTGAGCTGCTCCCTCATCTGACATTGTAGAAACTGTGGTTATAAGTATCGGGTGCATATCGAATAAGCTCACTATTTTGATTTTACATTTCCAGTTCATTTCTTTCATTGATTCTAAATGTTTCCCTGTTAGACTCTCCTTTTTGCAAGTGCATATATGTGGAACTGGAATTAGTCACTGACTTGCTTTGTAGAAGCTCAACATTCTCTTCATTATTTTAGGTTATTTTAATCTAAGACTTTGTCTTGGGAATGGGTACATTTTTAATCTGTCCATCAACTCAGTGACAAGGGCCTTTCCTTTTGTTTCTGCTGGACAAGCCCCATCCAAGGTAATAGAGGTCTGAGCTGTGAGCTTTCCGCAGTCCTAGACAGACTTTTGTTAGAGGATGTGTTCTGATTCCTTTTTACCAGGCAGCAAAAAGAATCAGAGATCCTTCTCCCTTTATGAATATACAGATGTAAATCAGGCAAACTCAAAAATCCCCAAATTAAATTTGACATTAAATTTGTTTCTAATTGTTTAGTAATTTTTTTAACTGATTACAAGCCAGGGTCTGCTTTCGAGCTCTTCATATATATGTTATATATATATATATGAAAAAAATCTGTATGTAATAAAAATATACATAATAAAAAATCTACCTGTATGAGTCTGGTTAAGAAACCCTGTAGTAAGGATGAAGAAGATCACTGGTATGAAAAATGATAAATTCTGAAATTGTTGATCATTTGAGGACTTTGAGAGTGATTGTAAGAAATTTTCACTGGAGTAAAAGAAGTGTTCTGCAGATAGTAGCTGACTGTGTTAATCTATTGTAAATATTGAACCTCTGGAAATTATAGGTGGAGATTTTTCTGTTTGCTTTAGTAATAACTTAAACACTGGTCCCTGATAAGTGCTGTACCAACAGACTGGATTAGTTTTGAATCTCTGCAAGTGCTGAACAAAAGCACTAAATTTTGATGTAAAACAGCAAATACCAGCTCTCCCTTTCAAACAGCACAGCCCAGGCTCCTGTGTGCTGTGCTGAACCTGCTTTGCCTCCCCAGGCCCTGGATAAAGGCTGCTCCAATCCTGCAGCCTGGGAGGCAGGGAATGGATGCTGCCCTGCAGGCTGAAGCTGGCATAGTCAGGAGGCATAAAGCACTGACTTGGCACTGAGAATTCTCCTAACAAGGCCACCATCAGGACATGTCAAGTTAGGCAGCATCCCAGTCCTGTGCAGTGTGGAGCACATAGGTGGTTGTGTCAGAAAGGCCACAAGAAATGATGGCCAGTAACCAAAAACCTGTCTGCTCCCACACTCACATCTTGCTCCCATGATCTGTAGTTGCTGCTGTCTCCCTGGTCTTGTGCCAGCAGGAGATGTGGAGGCTGGCTCTGTTTAATTTCTGCTTTGGAGATGGGAGAAGAAACAGAGCCTGTTTGTGTTCCTCTGTGCTCAGTGCTATGTGACCTCTTTGCTCTGCTTCCACTGCACTTGCAGCCTCCCAGCTGCAGCAGGGGTGTGTGCCCCTTGCTGGGGGTGTCCCCCCTTCTGCCTGGGCTCCATTCCCTGCCCAGCACATCACTTGGGGCATCTTCTGGGGGCATGACAGTGAATGAGTTCAAAGAACAGTTCAAAGAACCGTCCAAATGACGCTCTCATCCACAGAATTTGCCTTTGATTCATTCTCAAGATGTATTTCAAAACTTTTTGATGCTGCTGACATCAGTAGAGCTCTACTGACATCAGTAGAGCTCTACAGAAACATTTGTCAGTTTCCTGCCCTCAGTGCCTTCTGCTCTTGCACAAGTTTGTCCATGGGCCTCTGTGGTCACTGGTCACTGTGGTCTCACCATCTGTCTGGCTGGGCTGTGCCCCAGTGTTACAGACAGGGTGACAGAGGGCAGGACACTCAGCAGGACTCAGACTGGGGCACAGTCCCGCAGTGCTGAGCAAGGAGAGAAGAGCATCTCCAGTGAGGACCTATGGCAGATCTTCCCCCAGACCATCTCCTTTCCCTCAGCCCCATGTGGGAGAGAACTTTGGTGTGAAAAGTCAGCACAAGGCAGAGGGACCAGTGCCTTCCTGATTGCCCCATCCCTGAACATACGACTTTGCACAGCAACACCTCTCCACTTCAGGTGAATTCCCTGACTTTCTCTGTTTCTTACAAGCCAAGGGTCTCTTCTTTGCAGGAGACCTATTAGGAATTTCAGCCTTTCCCCTGGAAAATGTCTCCTTAGAGCTGTCCTCACTCTGCCCCTCTCCAATGCCTTGCCTAGCTTTATCTCATAACCAGTTAGAGCCAGCCAGCATCTGGGTGTGCTGGTCTAAACAAGACAGAAATGCTGAACAGCTCTATTTCTTCACCTCTGTAATTTAGGAAAAGCAAAGCTGCACTTCATGACCTCTCTTCAGTCTTTGATGTATTCTGATGTACCCAGTATACTTGCAATTTTTTCCCCACATCATTATAGGATAATACTAAGTATATGTTAACATAAGAGCTTCCAAAGATGTTTGAAAGGCTTGTTTGTCCCTCTGCAAAGGGAAATCCTCCCCCTCCCTGACATATGCACTTATCTCTCCAGAGATTTATTCTTCAAGCCAGCCACTTTCTGGCATTGTTCCTTTTTGTTTATTAGCTATTCCTGACTTTCTGTTGAACAGGAGGTAGGAAAATTGGCAAAACACATGGAAAAGGCCTTCCTTGTGTGACAATAACACAAGACGAGGCAGAGCAAGAGAGACATTTAATTAATATTTTTAACAGATGTTGATCATAAATGAAGGGGTATAATTCATTTGCATGTACCAGTGCCTTCGGATGACGAATTAAGTGGAGAGTTTTGGCATTGCTTTTATACTGATGTGCCCTCCAGTCAGACTTAATGTGCATATGGATAAAGCTCACTAAACTCCATTAGAAGAAAGCTTTAAAAAAAATCTCCAAACTATCCCTAAACAAATGAGTATATATATTCATTTATGTGGTTTTCCAGAGACTCAGCTTTCCATCTTGCTTTCTAGAAAATTACTTTTTATGTTTTCCCTTTTGATCTCTAAAGTGTAGCCCTTCACCTTTACTGAGATGAGAGGTGCTGTCAATAGGTGCTTGGCTGTGGTCCTGCTCCATGCAGAAGCATTCAAGCAGCCCAGAGATTGGTTTGGCCCCTAGAAATTTTGCTATAACTAAATATTTGTGAACATTTATGTGACTCTTTGATCTGCCATAGATATATAAATGCCAGGAATGTGATCTGAAATCGGTCTGGATGAACAGGCTAAGGCACATGTCCAGTATACACTGAGTTTGTACTCAAGAGATGAGTTGTATAATGCCAGTCTGGATGTTGCTGACAAAACCAACCACCTGCTCTTTTACTTTGTGAAAGGAGGACCCTCTGGATAGATGCTCATTTTAGAAAGACAAGGTAATTCTTGTCATGCAAAGTTCTTATAGTTTTTTCAAAACGCAGAACCCAGAACACATTTCAATGTGCTCAGGAGATCTGATCCAGCTTATGCCTTGCTCTGAGTCCTGTTGGGAATCACAGAGCACAAATTGTCTGCAGCTGTCCCCACTTCCTAGGAACACGTGGCCAGCTTTGCCTTCCTAATGGGTAAAAGAATGAATTCTTTTTTCTCTTGCCATATTTTTAGCGTGTCCTTTCTTACCCAGATGGAAAATCCAAGAATTCCAGTAAAATCTCAACACATGTAGGTCTGAGTTTAAGAGAAGTCTCCATGGGAATGGGAGGTCAGGAGGGCGTATCACCAGCCCCACCACCTCACCCCGAGGAGTTACATTTAAACAGACTGAGTTGCTCGGGGCTGAGCTCTCTTTCTCTCGAACTAGAAAAATCTTTCTTCTCTGTGAGAAAAATTCTTTTTAATGAGCCCTCCCCTCTTTTTTCTTTGTGGTTGCTACAAAGACAGTAACTGTTCTCACAAGCAGTCCCACAGTCGTGTGTTTGGATGTACATAGTGGCTGCAAAAGGATTCAGAAGGACAGGAAGCACAAGTACGACCTTCATTAGGAAATATTTCCATATTTGTGCAATAGGATTGGAAGAAGGAGGCACCTCCATGCTTCACTGCTGAAGGGTGAGTTTCTCATCTGCAAAATGTTCTCCCTTGCACTGACAGAAAGCTCTTGAGCTGTTGTACGCTCCTGAATACATTTCCAGGGGACGTTACTGAGTGTAACGGTGCTGGACTCAGCACTGCTGGCTTCTCCTTTCCCTGCTGGTCCAGGCAAGTAATAGGTGCTGTAAGCCCCATGGATGCTTAAAAACTCCTCCAAGGCGTTGTGTTGATAATTTTTCTTCCCAATATTATTTTTAATCCCTTAATTATTTTTAATTTTTAATTGGTGTTATAGTCCAGCTAAGAGTGTATCCCTACAGTGAAAATTAGGAAGCAGAAAGGATTATTGGCTGCAGGAAGAGGTGGCAGAAGCAACCATGGGCACAGAGAAATGCCTGCAGTGCTGACTCAGTGGGAGGTGTGAGGACTTTGGTCTGTGCCCTCTGAGGCAGGGCCACATTCACACAGCATACCCTGGAGTGCAGAGCCAGAGAGTGGCAGTGGTGTACAGCATTTCAGTAGCTCCTGCTCAGCAAATCCACCCTGAGGTGCACCTGGGACTGCAGGACTTGTCTTTGCCTAGAAGGGAACTTGTCTGTGTCAGCCTCGGAGGATGAGGTATTGCAACGTGCTGCAGCCCATGGCTGCAGAGGCTGCCCACCCATGACAAGTCTGTCACCCAGCGGCATTTGGTGCTGGGACCGGGGTACTTGTGCCTGTTCCTTGTAAGCACTGAGAGAGATTGGAAAATAAAGTGAGTTCTGATGTGAAAAACGGGGACAAAAAAGGTTGTGCTCTTCAGGAGTTTAAAAACAGCTTGAAAAACTATGTTTATGGAGCAGGGAAGAGGAGGGGGGGAGACATCTGTGCTTGTTTATTCATTCATATTTCTATTGGCCTTTATTATATTTAGACCACGCTAGATGATGACAGAAAATGATGCTAGAAGTGTTTTATGTTTACTGATGATCTGGAGAGTAGGAATGCTCTGTGGCAGCCTCTGCAGCTCCTCCTGGCCCAGATTCCATTGCACACATTTGACTCTGTTGATACAGCTCACAGTGCACTGTCATCTGATGGGAGTGTAAGCTCAAATCTTTTCTGCTCAGTTGTTTTCTTTATTTTCTTTCACTAGCAGGCTGTTATCAGACAGGAGCAAAGGGAAATCAAACATCATTAAGCACTGCAAGACCTCTGCCCTTCTTGAGCTGACACAGGGGAGTTCTTAATTTCTTTGACAACTAAATAGAAACAAAGTTCCTCATATTTCTAAACAGTCACTGCAATGAAAAAGCTTCAGTTCTGAAATAAAGGAATTAATCTTAGAGCTGGTGTTTGAAAAACAATGGGGTGTGTATTTGATATTTGGAAAAACACCAAGCTGGGACATTGTTATCGCCATTTTGGGTGTCTTTATAGCTTATAGAGAGGCAGAAAACCAGAACCAGCACATTGCTTCTTAGAAAGCCCATCAAAGACATCAGGTGTACAATGTAGTTTCTGTAAACTGCTTTAATATAACGTTCTATAACAGTGGTGTTCAATGATCACTTTGTCTTAACCTGCTTTCCTTTTTCCCTGGTCTGATGGGAGAATTCATTGAATGAAGAGAGCGGAAGGAAACAAAACTGGTGGTCCCAGCAGCTTCTGTCTGTGCCAGCTGTTGTGCTGTTACATGGGACCTAGACAAATGGGTCTATTTTGACACGTGAAAATGTAGTTTTCTTTTTGCTATGTCCTGATGAATTCTGCAGGTTTTTCCCCAGGAAGAACTCACTCTGGTGTTTATGGCGAGAATTGACTGGGCTGAGGATTGATCAGAAGCCTTAAATGCACTTCTGCCAGCCTTTCTGGGATGAGGGCTGGCTCTGAAACCCCCTTGGTGTCTGACAGTCATTCTGCAGGACCCATCCCCAGATAAAATATTAGTGTGCAGGACAGCTCTAGAGACCTTTTGTACTTTAACACATCCTCTCTTACCCCCTCAGAGTGTTTTTCACGCAGGGTCTCAGTGTTGTGGCCATAAGTCATTCTATGTACCCAACACATGCTATCCAGAGTCTATGTAGGATTATGTACACAGGGATATGTATCTTGGAATGCTGCCTGTGCTCTGGTGTGACACAACAGCCCAAGCAGAGCTTTGGTTACTCCTGCAACATTAGCAAAGGGAATGTGCCCTGGCCTAAAGCAGATGCCCTGGGGGGAGTGGATTAGTGGGCTATTGACTTTTGTCCATCCATTCAGCTCCATTTCCCTTATCTCTCACATTTGTGACTCTACTGGCTTTTCCACTTCCTCTTAACTCTGTTCCTGGAAAAGGGCGGGTGGGAACGGAAATAATCCATTAAACCTGTCTCCACTGATTTCCATTTCCACAGTATGATAACGGCACCAGGCTGCTCCTGGGTGTTGGTACCACGGACTAAACCTTTGCTTTGTTCAATTAGAACAAACCTAGACTGCCAGATACCATCTCAAACTGCCACATTAGCAAGGACTGAACCTGGCCAGAGGAACTTCTGACCCAGAAATAAGATTTTCTCGGTTCTGGAAAAGTCAGTATGTTGGATCAGATTCATTGGCTGGCTGCCGTGACAGTCCTGGGAGTCCTGGAGCAAGGTAGGGACCATTGGATGCGTGTGCTCAAGTACTGGCTGGATCAATCTACTGTAACTCCACTGATTTTCTTTTGCTTTCGTGTTTAATGTCTCCTGTTGCACTGGCACTTCACAGCTTTTCAGACAGGGAGCTGATATCTTGTCTGGGTTCTGGAGAGCATTCCCACAAATGAGTGCATGGGAAGCCCTTTCTCTGAACTGACCTACCCCCTCCTTTCAGATTTTTTTTGGTAAATCTTTCCCTCTGCAAACATGTAGAATTTCCCTCTTTGGGCTTACAGCAGCTCCCAAAGTGCATGTAGATGTGAGCATACAAAAAGCTCTGCTGTGTGAAAAGGTGGAAGTATGGGCTGTGGTGGGCCACATGGAACATCTCCCAGCCACAGGTCCACATTGCATGCCAATTTCATTCAGTATCTGGTTGGCTTATCTGTGGCATCAGTTCCATCCCTACACAGATACCAGAATTTAGAAGAGCAAAAAATTAAAAGAATGAAAAAGCCTTGAAATTGTCAGTAATAAAGTGCATCTGAAGTGTGTAACAATTTTACCAACTGCTGATTATACAAGAAAGCAGGTAACACTGGTAGTACATTACTTGCTTCACTATAGCTCTGGGTCATTCCTTTTCCTTTTCTAAAAGGTACCTGGGATTTTATTCTAACTTTCTCTGCTGTGTGTGGGCTTAGGAGGAGACTGCAGATCTTTTTCTCCAGGCTCTGGCCAGCTCCTGGCTCTACCATGCCCAGCCGTAGGACTGACCACTGCTACTTTTCTCTCTTTTGCTGCAGCCTACTTCTTCCTCCAGGTGATCTATGCTAGGAGGTTGTTTGGCATTTCACCTCCAAAGATCTCAGGCCCTCCTGAATTTGAAAGGATCTTTCGAGCACAGTAAGAAACGCCTCTTATTTGATTTTTGTCAGATCTCATGTAACGGCACTGCCTTTCCCCTGCTTTGTTATTGTTTTCTGGAACTGTAATTAAGCAATTACCTCCCTCGAGGTTAATCAATTGAAGAGTCAACATCAGGATTGGGTTGGCTCTTGAGTCCTAAAGCAGACATTGCTGATAGAAACAGCACTGAAAAACACAGAGAAAACTCTGCTGTACAGTGAAGGGCTGTTAAAGACATAACCCTTGGTTTCTAAGACTTAGACTGGTTTTATCCAAGTGGTGCCAAACCTCAGGCAGCTTCAGCCCTGCTCTGAATCTCACTCACTGAGAAGGACAAGTTCCCAGAGAGATCTCAGCTGGTGCTGGGATGAGGATAACCCAGCATCTCTGCTGTGACTTCTGCACTGGGGCTGCAGCAGGGAGGGAGGAGCTTTCACATTGTTGTAGCTGACCACTGGGAAAAAAGTAACTGAGTAGCTTGAGCTGGATCCCCTCAGCCATCCCCTTCTTGCTCCTTCACTGGCCTAGACTCAGTTCATCCAGCATCTTTTGGTGCTACTGTGCCTTTGGGAGGACAGGGCATAGCATGCAAATAATCCCAAGAGTTATGTGCTCCCTCCAACTCCTGCACGAAGCCCAGGCTGCTCTGGCTTTATGTACTTGAGGGACAGACCTTCCCTACAGCTTGGGGCATCCACAGCAGGGTTTGAGCTGCAGCACTTGGGAAGCAGCAGTGGGAGTGGTTCATGGAGCCTTCCTGTGCACAGTCTGACCTGGGAATCTTTTACTTAATTTCTTGTAAGCTGGAGACCCTGTTCTTTCCATTGTTTAATTTCTGTGAATAAAGCTGGGACAGCAACTGGAGCCTGGAGGCTTTTTATGACAACATTACTTCTAAAAATCAAAAGCCTCCAGTGTCTGGAAACTGCCAGGGGAAGCAAAAGAGGAAGAGTTCCTTCCTTTCCCTGGTTTATGACCTTTCTCTTTCCTGCCAGGGTGAACTCCTCTGAGTATTTTCCCATCTTCCTGGCACTTCTGTGGCAGGCTGGACTCTTCTTCCATCAAGGTGAGAATATCCCATTACCTGGTTTGTCACTGGATCTGTTCCCCTGCATGCTGCTTCAGTCCTCAGGTCCTGCTCAACTTCTGAACAACAAATTAAGAAGTAATTCTGTCTCTGATGGGAGGGTAGAGCCAGACAACAGAGTCTCTATTCCTTCACTTTCGGCTACCTCCTTGGTTCCAAGCAGCTTGGAAAAGCCTTTGGAGATGGTTACTGTGGTCTCTCTTAAACACAGGTCTGGCTGCAGCCTTGGGTCTGCTCTATCTCTACGCCCGCTACTGCTACTTCAAGGGATACAAGGCATCATCCTCAGAAAGGTAAACACACTCTCACACACTCTTACACACTCACACAGTTACACACACGCACACTCACACACAGCAGCCCTCAGGGGACTACATGGTAACCCCTGGGGGGTTGTTTTTGGAAACATAACGTGCCTTGGGAAAGCTCACGACTCTTGGTGCTCCTGCATGACTCAGCCTTGTCTCCGAGGCATAACGTGAACATGGATACATGGCTGGGGCAGCAACACAGATACTGGGCAATGCTGGGCTGCCCCAAGCCCTTTTGGGTGTGTGTGTTTGCTCCCTTGAGGTGGAAGCAGGGCATGGCACCCCACTCAGGGGGCAGGGGACAGCCAGGGGCTGCTTTCCACCCACTTCTGCAGGGAGCAAGGGGCTGTTCCCAGGCGGGAAGCTCGGTGTCAGCCGCTGCCTCTCTCCCACCAGACTCGCCCCGATATACTTCAGCGCTGGAGTTCTCTGGATTCTCATTGCAGTGTCAGCCCTGGGCATCCTGCATTTCTTCCTCTCTCACTATGTGGGGCTGAATGTCCTCCAGCTTCTCACAGCATGACCCACTCCTCTGTTCTTCACCACTGTCCTCATCTTCAAGTCCTGCTCCCTCCTGCCTGCCTTAACAGACTGGCTGCAACTCAGCAGCCCTCAATGAGAAACCCACCTTCACCCAAGCTTTTAACTCCTCCTTCCTCACTGTCCAGCACTGGCAGGAGCTGCTGAGCTGTTTAGGAGATATTTTTCCTCCATGGCATTGGGTGTGCCAAGTGCTCCGCATCTGGCGGCTCCATCGTGTCTGATGTGGAAACACCAACCCCAAACAAGGACAAATAAAAGCAAACTCTTCTCAGTCTGAGTTTCCCAGTGAGTTGCCAAAGGGAAGTGCCATGTGTTCCCCATTATCCAGTGGCTCTGCCCTCAGCCCAGGCACAGAACACAGATTCATGCCAGTTTTCCAAGGCCCACACCTAAGAAAGGCATTTGTTTGGAACCAGATGTGGGCTGAGACATAACAAAAGAGGTGAGGGATAAACTGGAGTAGCCACCAACATGTTGTGCAAAAGTCTGTTGGTGCCCTCATGCTGGTTATCAGCCACTGCTGTAAATCAGACCGTGCAAACTCATCACCACTGCTGTGTGTGCCGCTTTGAACTCGTCCCAGTGACAGCAGGCCCAAATAAAAGGTCACTGAACTTGCTGTACTGGGTGTCTCTTTGTGAGTCTGCAGCTAGCAGAGAATAGAAACATGAGTGTGTGTGTGCAAGGTGGCTGCCTTTGTTTCCCTGACATGCAACCCAACAAAGCCTGCAACCCTGTGTGCCATGGGAGGAGGGCTCTGAGGAGGGAGAAGCTGATTTTTGGAGATGTTGAGCTCATGGATTGGGTACTGAGCCACTCAGCACTGAAAAGTGGTTTACCCAGTCCTCAGGTTCCTCCTGCATCAGGAGGGGCTGGATTTTCATGAGTCCAGTATGCATAATACTAATGCTTTTGGCCACTGGTGCCCTCATATTAGTGCCACAGGAAATGCCAGCACTGCTCCGTGTGTCATCATGGGGGGAATTCACACCAAACCCAGAGAGTGAAAATAAATGCATGAGCATGATGCCAGTCCAACCACATTGTAAAGCCCACTGCTCTCCCAGCAGTAGGCATATCTGGACTGTAAGAACAAAAGGCAGGGGCTTTTTGGAGGAAATGATTAATTTTTCACATTGTTTCTTTTCCTTCCATACATTTTAAATTGGCTTCTCCAGCAAAGCCCCCATTCGATTTCCCTTTCAGGCTCTCCTGCCTTGGAGTCATGCTGCTGCATTGAAACTGGCAAATGCTGCGGGGTAAGGCTTAAAGCCAAACAAAAATAATTATACAACACTTGTTTCTGCAAAGCTTTCAGTGCATCAGCGCCCCATCCTCACCGAAATCCTCAGGTGTCACAGCAAGATAAACAATAACTTTTTCTCCTGGCATCTTTGGTGACACATTTCAGAAAAGTCTGAGCATAGTTTAACCCTGGCTGTGCCTTAGCAAAGTCAGGGAGGAACAGATTTCACAGTGAGATTTCACTTAGCCTTTGCATTAACAGGTCCTACCATCTCCTGAAGGTGTTCCCAGTCCTCACCTTTTTACCAGTATAACCATTCACCTCCCAGAGGGTTAATGCAGAAGGACCAGCCCCAGCTGGGGTGCAGGACCTGACTCTGCATCAAAACTCTGCTTTCTGGGGTCAGTCCAAGTGGTGCTCACTGGTTCTGTAGACACAATCTCTGTCTTTATCCTACATTCAGTTTTCTAAACCCGCTGTATCAACCTGGAGCCGCTGCCCACCTCAGCCCCGCTTGTGCCCGCTCTGTGTGTGACAGGGCCGCAGGATGACTCAGAGGAGGGAAATTAATGATTCAGCGGTGAGATTGTAGCCGGCTTCTCCCCTTGGATGCACAGAAGACCATTAAAAATCCTGGCACGGCGCAGTCAGGCTCTGGCCTTGGTGGCTGCCATCACCAGCTCTGCCACAGAAAATCTGACGGGCACATCATCAGTCCTTCAAACCACTGTCAGAGGGGCTATTTCAGGTGCCCCGAGCAGAAGGGAAGCTGCTCCCCTCCACCAGAGCTGCTATCATTGCTCTGCTGCTTCATCAGTCAAAGAAAACCACTTTACACTGATCGATGGTTCAAACAGTCGATGATTTTGGGATTTACTCAATTCATGATGCTGCTGCCCAGCACGCTCTGCTGATGCTGTATGGCACCAGTTTGCCCGCCTGAACCTGCTGCAGAAGTGCTGAAGGCACTGGGCTGGGCTGGGCTGGCACAGGGGGTGCTGGGGGGCTGCACCTCCACCCGGGTCACCGTCCCTGAGGTGTGAAAGCCACCCCAGTTTAAAGGTGATCCAGCCGCTAGCGGCATTGCTGCGCTCCCGAGGGCTCCGGTCCAGCGCTGAGAGAGAGGGTCCCACCGCTGCCCCCGCCATGGGGGCCGGCCGAGGCCGTCAGCCCCGCTCCCCTTGGGATTCGTGTCCCCGCTCCCCCCGAGATGCTGTCCCCGCTCCTCCCGGGATTTGTGCCCGCCCCGGCCCGCCGCTTCTCCCCGGCGTCGGGAGAGGGCGCTGGCGACTCGCGGCTGAGCCAGGCGGGCCCGGGGCCGGCGGGGGCCCGGGGGTCCAAGGGCAGCGACCACCGCCGGCCCCGGGCCCGCCGCCTGTGCCCCAGCACCGCTGGCTGCACCCCGAGACGTGCCCGGGGCGGCGCTCACCGGGCAGCCGGCACAGCCACGGCACTCATCCACGGATCTGCCTGCTCCGAGTTTGATCCGTGCTGGGCCAGGCTCTGGCTTTAAGGTATTGGGTAGGGGAGTCCTGGAGCCTCGCAGGAGTCTCCTGAGGACGCTCACGACAGACATAAAGCAAAGCGCTCTGCGGACTCCTCAGCTCCTTCCTGCTTCCTCCCCTTACGGCTGCCAGTTCATTGCCAGCAGCGGGGAGAAAAAGCGTTTGGCGCGTGCAAATCCGCCCTGATAGTGCCACAGGCTCCCAGGATAAGAGGCAGCCGGATGGGAGGCCAGCAGAGAGCAAAGGAAACCCGCAGAACCAGCGAGAACGTTTTTATCACAAGAGGTACAGAGGCTGAACTTGTAAACAGCCTCTGTCCCCGGCGGGGCGGGCTCCACGCGAGGGACGGGGGAGTGCAGAGCTCTGTCCCCGGACAGAGCAGCTGCCCCCCGCCCTAGGCACAGCCGGAACGCAGGGGTTGCCACCTCCGCGTTCCCAAGATCCCAGCCAGGTTCCTGGAAGGCTTTGGGATCAAGGTGCAGGAGTTTGTATCTTATTATCTTGAAAACTTCAAGGACACCCACTTGTACTTCCCCATCCGTGACGTGCTGGCCCCTGCTGGATACGGTCTGGTGCGGGCAGCGGCGGCTTTACAAGCGGCCACCAGACCGAAATGCTGTGCTCTGGCATGAGGAGGAACAGCACCGGTGCCCCCAAGCCCATGGAAGAGCGCCCCAGTCCCTCCGGAGCACAGCCTGGTGGGACGGATGGAGGACACCCTTGAATTTCCCCGGCTGCTAACTTTCTTTGGGAGGGGGTTTGGGAGGGAAGCTCCCGTGGGGCCGGGAAAGGAGGGTGCAGCTGGTGGCCCCGGCTTTGTGGCACTGGCATGTCAAGCAGGTTTCCATAGCACCAGCATCCATAACACGGGGCCGAGGGGAGGGAGAGAAGTAGGTCAGACAGGGCTAACAATACCAAGACGTGTCTATCTGTGGCTCAGCCTGACCCAGGAAAAGGGTGAAACGGAGAAGAATGGGAGAGGGAAAGGAAAAAAAAAATAATAAAGAAGGAAAGAAAGTATCCACAGTCTGAGCAATGCATTTCTTGCCTTTAGAAAAATAAGGACCTTTTAAAGCCACCTTTGTGTATCAGCGCTGAGCAGCCGAGACTAGCACCCACCTCCTGCCCATCTGACAACAGGCTACAAGGGAATTCAAATGCTAATTTGGAGCCAGACTTCTCAATGGGCCTTTATTTCTGCAGCAGCACCAGGATCGGAGCTCTGGGGAGCCAGCCGGCAGGAGCTGTGAGGATGCAGTCTCCAGAGCAGGACTGTGGGACACTTCCCTTTCCCCTCACCGTTCCTCACCGTCACTTTGTTACCCCTTGTCTTAGTTTTTCTTGTTTACATGCAAATGACTTCAAGGGCAAGGAAAAAGAAAGGCGGGCACATGGAGTTGTGTGAGTGAAAAGCCCCCGCTAGTGACCCATTTTATGTGCTGAGTCTGCAGAGGCCTCGCTGTTGTCACAGCATTTTGGGGTTGCCAGCTTTGCAGTGTGGTCGTTTCGAGCTATGTGTCCATCAATGCCAAAAGCAGGAAGAGCATTATGGGCAGTGAGATCCAGAGCCCTCATGATCTGAGCAAACATATGGACACACAGATCTGCTGGGTGTAACAGAGCAAGGTCAGGGGAAGGAGTGCTTTGCTCAGGGGGAACTGGAGAGTGTGGGTGCAAGAGCACAACCCTCAGTGGAGAGGCTGAGATGGGCGGGGGTGAAGAGCGTGACGGGCTGACCTGTGTCATACCTGCAGCTGGAGAACGCCGTGCTTGGCTTGAACATCACCCCCACACCATCACGGAGCAGATGCAGCAGTGGATGCAGGCACAGGGTGTTTCAGACAGGCCAGTGAGAGCAGGACCCTCACCTGCAGGAAAGTTCTTCCTTTACATTAACCACAGGCCACAACCCAGTGTAGTAAAAACTGTTCCTGCACTTGATAGTGCGGTAAAGTCTAAGCAAAACCAAAGCTATCTGCAACTCTGTCTGTTAGCAGGCTGGGAGGCCAGGAAAATCCACACTCTAAAGTTACAATTTGCCCATTCTCATCAGTTTTCTACCTCCAGCAATTACCACTTACAAGAGAGCTTCAAGAATTCACATTTTCCCAGATAAGGGCAGAGCCACTATATATATATGATGGACAGGGTTTAACATGGCCCTTTGTGAATGCCCTCCCTGCAAAGGAAAACTGACCACCTGCTGTGGAACCTTAGGGAAGAGCATGCCCAGCTCCAGCCCCCAGGGATGCTGTGCCAGACTCTGTGCTCAGGGACTAAAGGTAAAAGTTATGTAGGAAGAGCCAAAGGGTCAGCACTCAGGAGGACTCACAGAGCACTTCTGGAGTGAGAGAATGAAAGATCTGTGCCTGAGCACATGCATCAGCTGTGTTGCTTTGATGTGGCACTGGTAAACAAGAGAAAGGTGGGTGACCCCAAATTACTAAGGCAACATTGCCTGCAAGGGGTAAAAGTCGGGGATCATCATTCCAGTGAGGTCGAAGCCAGTGAGCTCTGCTTCTGAGCACGCAATGGGCGAGTGGCTAAAACAGACTCCATTTCATGAATGCCCTTGGCCAGAATAACAAGAGCTCAGGACTGCTGTCTGCCCTGACACAGTACCACAGCACACTCTCCCAGCATTGGACTGAGTCACCCCTCTGTCCAGTATCTACATCTTTACAGCTGGCTCTCCACTTGGGAGGGCGTGAAGAAATGCAGACCTTGGAGGTATGTGAATGGCCACTTCTCTCTCCTGGCAGCACACCGATGAAGTGCCAAGGTGCTGCGAATGTTCCGCCTGAGTGAAGAAACCTTTCCCGGGAGCAGCCTGATGAGCTCAGCACGGCGCTGCTCAGCCAGATGGCTCCCGGACCAGAGCTGACTCATGCCCACAGAGCTCAGGCAGCAGAACTGGCAGATAGCTGCAGCACGCTGTGGGAGACACCTCACCCCGGCTGGCCCTGCACTCACTGTGGGGCAGCTCCAGCAGAAAAACCAGGTGTTCAGCCCACTGCTATAATTCTAATGCTGCAAAACTGAAACGGTGACAGGCCTGGGTTCCACTGACAAACAGAGAAGAACCAGGCTGGTGAACTTTTCTGAGCCCTGAAAGGGTGCAGCCATCGAGGGAGCAGAACTCTTCATCTCACAGAGGCAAAGGATGGTGAGCACAAGCTGTGGATAAGCTGATGGCACAAAGGGAAGGGTGATAGCTTCTAAAAGAGCAGCAGAGGCCTCAGAGAGAACAAGGGACTTGGGTATCTGCTTTCCACTAAAACAGTGTTTACAAACCTCCCCAACTGTTTTCCAGCTTGGCTTCTTAGTGAATTACAGTTTAGGAAAGCTGGGAAACATGAGATACATCCAATCCATGCTGCAGACCACCATTTTCAGAGAAATTAATAAAGGCAAAAAACAAAGGTGAAAAGGAAGAAAGGTGAAGTGTAGCAAAAAATCTTCTTCAATAGTCCAAATCAGACATGGGAGGGAGACTGCACTGGAAAAGCTGTGAACTGGCAGCATTAGTGGGTGATGAATGTGGCCATGTTATCTAATATGGTAGAATACACATAATGAATTTTTAATAGCATTGTTTCACTTCTATTTCTCACAGTGTCACAGCTAGAGGCTGTTTCAAAAGGCATGGGGAATAGATAAAGGTTATGATTGGATGGTAGGGCTTTTGACTGGAGGTCACACATAGAGAGAAACATACAAAGCATCAGTAGTATAAGACTTCCATGTATTCCCTGTTTTCAGAGCTCACATGAAAAACAAGTCAGCTGCAGCAGTGTTTACTGAGAGTTAATCAGGTTTGCAGATTAACCATAAGATCCTGAATTATAGGTGCTTATATGCAAATATGAAGCACATGCAACACATGTAGCTGAGACATGAAAAATGGACTCTGTGACGGCAGCAGCAGAAGAAATGGCTAACAGCTAAGGAGGAAAGGGAGGGCACATACAGCGATGATGGACTGAGTTCTGTTGTCTCTTCAGAGCAGGTATTTAAGTTCTGATCAATTCTCCCTGTAATGGTAAATGCTGATCCGTGAAAGAATCATTGGCAATTATTTTTTGCATTGCAACAGTATCTCCAAAACCTACTTAGAAATGAGCATCTGCTTCACTCCCAGACACACAAAGTGTCTCCATATGCTTGGATGACTATGGAACCCTGAAACCAGAGCTGCAGATTTTCTTCATTATTTTCTTGCCCTGGAAAGAAGTGCAAGCAAGATAAGAAAGACTGGTATAAAACAGAAAATTCTTGAGCAGGTAGCAGGTTTCAAGAGCTTTACTTCAGTCCAGCTTAACACTCCACATGTGTACTCAGCTTTATGCATCTCTCTGCAGGCTGGACTGGGGCTCCTCTCCATGAACCCGTAGGGAATTTGGGATGCTGCACAGGGGCTGTGACTATCTGGCAGATTTCTACTCTGGAGGCCACCTTGATGCCTCAGGTTTTAGCTTTTATATTTTTCACATTCTGTACTGCTTTAGTGTGTAGTTCTGAGCTTCATATTAGGGGATAGTAAGTTCTCTTCAGAATACGTAGACAAAACAATTCCTTTTCTAGCTGGGGACCAAGGACAAATGATCCAAATCTCAGGCACAAGAGCATAAACAACAGTGGAGTGAAGAGAGAAAAACAAGAAGGATGTGACTTCATGGGCTAAAGCTATAATTGGACAATTAACTCCAATATGCTAATGGACCAGAAATGGTTGTCCATTTTGTGACCAGAAATGGTTGTCCATTTTGTGACCATTTTGGGATCATCTTGGGTGGACTCTTGTGCTGCCCAAGGCAGATCCATTGAGGCCTCCTAATAAACACCTACTTTACTCTTTAATTCTCTCTAGTCTCTGTTCTAGGTCAGCCTTTGCAAGGCATCAACCTCTTTGCCCATTTCCTACCTGATGCACTATCACACCCAGCAGGCTGAGCTGGGCTTGGCTTACAGCCCTCACTCCCCCAGCTGACTTGAAAGAGGCAAAAACACCTGGGAATGCAAACGGGAAAAGGGAGCAGCTCCTCTCTCCTGCTGTCTGGGCAGCAGGTGTGCCTTTCCCCATCGCAGGAATGAAACTGTGAACTTCTGAAGTAGAACAAAGCCCTTTCAGGAAAAAACATGTACCCAGAGCTGCAGCGTGAGCTGTGACAAACACACTGGGGTCCAGCGGGGTCTGTTGGAGGGGAAGGTGCAGGTGTCAGGCTCACACCATAAAACAAAACCAGGTAAATGTGATGCCTGAGTCCTAGAAGAAATCACAGAAGGAAGAAACTGTACCAATGTTTTCAGGAAGATTTTTATTTCCTGTCTCCCTCTGTGCGAGTGCTCACATACCATGAGACCACCCCCAGGTACAAAAGCACTTAACCAGCCAGGGCCTCTGAGGAAAAGGGTTGCTCTGTCAGCAATAATTCCATTTGAATTGTTAATTATTTTTGTCTTTCAAACCAGCATATACATTGGCTAATTACAACTCTTCTGATAACTATTTATGTCTTTGCTTGCCCCTGCAGCTCACAGTCACGTTCTTCCCTCGGAAGTGGCTGTACCAAACTTACTGTGGGTTATGTCAAATGCAGGCTGAGTTTTTTCCCTAAGATTAGCAGCAGTTACATATTTGCAGAAAGAAGTCATATGACCTTTCTTCTAACACTGGAAGGATATATAGAACTTCTTGTCAGTGTGAACACAGGATGATTTTAATTTCCTAAGAGACCTCTAAAGATAGGTCTTACATCAGAATCCTGTTTAACTAAATAAACATAAGATCAAGAAAATATTAGGTAAATCAGGCTTCATTTCTCACTGTAAATTAGATAGCAAGAGAACAGCCTTACAGCTCTCTTTAAAGCCTTTTAATCACGTGGATCATGATGCATAAACAACAGAAAACCCATTTTCTGTCCTTTTTCAAATGCAGTAATGGGGACTAAAAATACCAAATAAGACTAATAAAATGACATAGTAAATGTACCTCAGTGTATGAACATTAATACACGCTATAAAAAGCCAAAAATTATCATTATCTCACTGCTAGAAACGCAAAGGCCTCAACAGGGATTAGCAAAGGGATTTGCTTTACACTCACTAACACTGGGCCAGAAACAAAGCTTGGAGCCGATACCACACCTCCACAGTCCTAAGGTCACCTTTTATCTGTTCAATCCCACAGCAAGGCTCCCTTGCAGCTATTTTAACCTGAAGCTGCTTCAGCTCGCGATTTTTTGTGGAGACGGCCGGTCCGCCGGGGAGAGCGCGGTCCGAGGGCTCGGAGCGCAGGTGAGAGGCTCCCAGCACCCACTCGGGGCTTCCAGGCACGGCCGCCTCCTGCGCCAAGCCCAAACCGCCGCAGCGGAGCCCGAGCGGGGCCGCTCAGCCCGGGCTGCCACACGGCGGCCCTCGAAGGGCGGGGGAGCCCTCAAGGCCTCCCGGGCCGGGCCGCGCAGGCCCCGCCGTGCCCGGCCCCCGCCGCGGCGGGAGGCGGAGCCGAGCCCTGCTGACACCGGCGGCGGGCGGTGCTGCAGTGCGCGGAGCCGCCGATCGCCGCCGGAGCCCCGCGGCTGCAGCTCGCCGTGAGCGGGGGTGCCGGGAGAACGGGGATGGGTGGGGGGCGGCGGGGCGGGTGAGGGAGGGAGGGACAAGGCTGCCGCCATGTTCGGGAACCGGGGAGCGGGACGGGCGGGGGCGGGACTCGAACCGGAGCCGAGGCCGGCGGCAGAGACTCGACCCTGGGTCCCTGGGTACTCGAACCCGGGTCCCCCGGCGGGCGCGGGGGGCGCAGGGCCTCGCGGGACCCCCGGGGCCGGCGCGCGCTCCCCCCTCCACGCCCCACCGCGCGCGCGGGGGGCCGGACGTGACTGGCCGCGTTCAATTTGTCACGCGGCCATTGGCTGGCGGGGGCGGGCGGCGCGTGACGTCAACGCGCGGCGCTGCGCGGCCGGCGGCCATTTATAGGCGCGGAACGGGCGCTGCGCAGACGGAGTGAGCGGGCGGTACCGGGAGTACCGGCGGCTGTATCGCGGCCCATCCCCGCGGGAGTGCTGAGAAACCCCCCGCGGAGCCCCGATCCACCTTTTCCGAGCGCCCCTTCGGCCGCCGCTGAGCTTTTTGTTTCTGTTCGCGCAGCGCCCGAGCGCCCCTGCCCAGCTTTGTTCTTCTTGCGGCCCCTGCGGGGAAGGCGCGGCCAAGATGGACCCTTGTCACACCGAGGAGACCGAGGGCGAGATCCCCGGCTTGGGTAAGGCCCGGCGACGGCGGGCGGCGAGGGGGTGGCGGGAGGGAGGGAGGAATAGGCGATCGGGCCCTCGTGGTGCCGCCCGCTCGGGCGGGTGGGAGGGGTGGGCGTAAGATCGCAAACGGAGATAAGCGTAAATTACAGTTTATTGCAGGTCTAACGTCCAGCTTTAAGTAGCGTAAATCCGGTGGAAACGGCCACTCAGTAAAGCAGAAGTTGAAAGTAAAGGTTTCTGGACGCCATAACAGTCTCGTCTTAAAATGGTGAACTCGTGCCAGTTATTGCAAAACAGCCCTGCTCAGCGCCTGCTATCTGTTTACTGGGTGTCGGCCTCTCGCTGAGCTCCCCCGTGGGGACAGTCACTCGAGAGGCAATATTACTTTTAAATCTTTATTAAACAACAGAGAATATACAGAAAAAAACAACCACTATCAAAGCACCCCATATTTTTTCTTTTTAGTTATACAAAAAAGTTTTATCAAAAGCCACACTGCTCGTAAAAGGATAAAAATTAACCCCAAATCATGTTATTGCATTTCAGGGTTGCTTTAAAATAAGCTATATAGGTAATGCATTTTGTTTTAAGTAAAATTTTAAACACACAGATTGTGGAGTCAACTTCAGGGACTTGTTACTCGAATTAATTTTCATCTTCTAAAGAAGTCAGGAATGACTTGACCTATCAAAAAACCAAAAAGCATGTATTATTTGGTAAATTAAAATCTAATGTACCAGGCTTTTCCCTTTATTTGGGAAGAAATTGTTTATTACTGTGGTTTTCCAGTGATGTTTTGCCCCTGTATTTAATTAGTGAGCTGAAATGCATGTGGCCTTTCAGAGGGGCAAGGTAGATGGCATGACTGAGTGCTCAAAACTAAGCTATTAATTGCTGGGTTCCATGAGGATGTAATGACAAATAACTCCATAATTCATCATTGGGCTCCCCTTCCCTGTTTATTTAGAGCTGTTAAATTGAGGGAATTAGTCTTAGAGTCATTCTTCAGTAATCTCAAATTGATGACCCAGATCAAGATGAAGAAAATGGTTTTTATAGGGTTTGCTAGGGAAGAGCACTTCCTTATTCTTTGAAGTATTAGGTGGAATTTTTTTCTCCCCATGGACTAGCCAAACAACTCCAAAATTTCTTTTGGCATTTACTTCCCAAGTCTTGCCTTTCCTTGGAATTGGTAAACACCATTTTGACTAAAGTAACCTCTTTATTCCCAACTTGTCTCCTCAAATGGTTGTTTACTTTCCCTCCCCACTCTGGAAGTGTCACTGCATGCATGATAACTACAGAAGAAGAGCAGGTACAGATCCCCCAGTACTTCATACTTACTTTATCAATCAGGTACTCTTGTTTAATTTTATCGTTCTTAAAATCCTCATTAACATCCAAAACGAGAATAGGAATCTCCTTAATGTTCTCAAAATCAACTCTATTAGAGTGGAAGAACATAGTTTCAGTAAAATCCACATTAAATACTGTACATTCAAGACCCCGACTCTTGATTACCACATGTACCTGAAATGTTAAAGCTGATGCTCATAACTTAAATATGAAGCCCATGCCAAGTTTGTCCTTAATTGCTCTTCATATATTTCACACATCTGGACTCTTAGTATCTATCTATGTGGGGGGAAGACAGTTTTTACCTTAATTTCCTTTTTCTCAGTCTTGTCATGGAATCACTTACCAGGAACTGATTTTTTAAGATGGAGTATTTTTTTCAAAATCTCTCCTGCCCTGTGTTTCCCCCACTTAATCCACTTACCGAGATGCAATTTTAAAGCTTCCTTTCATAAGGATGACCTCTTTAACAGGTTATAAGACTGGTATTTATAACCAGTCATTATAAGACCATTTTGGCTTCAGTTTAGGAACAGATGGGAGCAGTAGTTAATTTTTCTGAGCGTGGAAGGCATTTCTAAAATGCAGTACGTGTGCTCAACAACATTCTAACTTTTGCTTGCATGCTTCAGTTCCTATTCCAAACTCAGGAAGTGAGTACACAACATAAATATTCCCAAAATTCCACACTATGCACTGCCTTCTGTCTCCTAAACACTTGGGTCATCCTATGTGAAACTTCAGCAAGTAGATTAAACTGATAATGTACCTTTCCTGGAATTGTAATGCTTCCCCTTCAGTAGAATATTTTGGACTCCTCTAGGGGAAAAATCTCGAGTCTGTTTTCATATTCAGAGATTCTTTAGATGGGAAAGCCAGTAAGAGTCAGTAAGGAACTTAAAGGAAGGTGTGCAGACATCACTCAGTTGCTAATTAGGTTTCTTGTGTGTAACAGGTCTGCCAAAAGCCTTTCTGATTATTGTGTAAATTTAAGTTAGGATTAATATTTAAACTTCGTTGAAATGCAGTCCTGCTAGTTTAAAGGTAGCTGGGGCTTTGTTTGCCCCTTACATTGCAGAAGCTGTGTGGTGAGAAATGTATGTGATTGTTCCCTGGCCACCATTTTAAGTGCCTTAGTCCTCAGTCCTTCCAATTAGCAAAATCCATGTCCTTGCTGGAGTTACAACTATAAAGCTTTCTAGTTGAAGCCAATGCTTAACAAAGGTTTCAAATTAGATGAAGTTACATCTCTTGAAATCTGAAGTGGGTACAAATATGAGTGTATCCAGCTGCCTGAGTGAAACTAGACTTGCACTAAACTCGGTAAAACTAAGGCTTTAAGGTAGGAAAGAGCCTTGCCTGCAAGTTGAAACTTGCTACAGAAAATGAATTCCTACCTCATAGTCCTTTCATGAAGCCAGGTTTCATGTTTATAGTGGAGGTTTTCCAAATACTCAAGCTCAATTCCTTGCTCCTCTTTTCTTCCCCTCATCTGTAGCCTTTCCATGCATTTCTGGGAAAAAAAAAAAAAAAAAAAAAGTATAAACCTGGTCATTAATCGTCCTTGCTCCTCTTTTCTTCCCCTCATCTGTAGCCTTTCCATGCATTTCTGGGGAAAAAAAAATACATATATATATAAACCTGGTCATTAATCATGTGTTTTAGGTTAAATCAGCTAAATGGATCAAGTAGTCCTTAACTTGGAAGGACTAATGCTAGACATTAGTGAGCATTAATTTTAAATGGTTGGCTGGACATAAATGAGTTAAATCTAGAATAACTTTTTTGTACCCTCTTAAGTCTCTGGAAAATGAAACTGGAACTGAGAAACCTCCATTTTTAGTGAGCATACCTGAGGTGTGGTTCTGAGATAGATCATGCCATCCAGTTCTATATCTGATTGAAACTGATTCAAAAGCCATGTGTGCCAGTCCTGATAAATGGACCATTCTGTTTCATTAATGTTTCCAGACTCGAACAGGTTAGAAGCAAACACATATCTGCAATGAAAGACATCAGTCTCATGCCAGGAATGACAAAAGTGAACTGCCAAAACACTTGTCATCAGAACAGAATGATGGTATTGAAAATATGCCTTAATCAAGCCTGCTCCCTTGCAGGTATTAGTTTAAATATCAAGTGTTTCCTCAGCTCCATGTCTTTAAAGACCTGGAAACTGTTAATGCGAGTTCTTGCCATGCTGTGAGAGTAATTACCTGTCACTGTACACAGATCTTTCAAAAAATTGCACTGGATGTTCTGCTTCATGTAGCTTGGCTGAGAGAGGTTTTAATTGTGCTTTTACTCGGCTCAAGCAGGCATAAGTCTGAAATGTGTAAGCCCATCTTGTGGGTTTGTCATACAGCATTTGAAGTAAGTTTCCTCCACTCTTCTGAGATGTTGAAGGTTCCTAGAAAGCAAGAGAAAAAAGTTAATATGAACATACTGCTTTTCTCAAGCCAGAATTCTGATATGTTTTAAGTAGAATTCATGGCTTGCTTTTTATTACTAAGAAAATGCTTAGGCACAGGAACTAAGAAACTCTTTTTCCTCAGGTGATGGTGGTTTTCATGACAGCTTCTTTGAGCAGTTTGTTTGTGTTCCAGATTTTAGTGTGATTCCTGTGGCGTAGGGGACATGATTTGGAATATATGTTCAGTAGTATCTTGCCTTTACAATTTGAGTGCCTGACCAACTGTGGTATGATAGTGGGGATGACTCTGGCTGCTGCAAACTAAGTATAGCTGGATTTTGGCATAGCTCCTTGACTGTGGAACTCCCTGCAGTTTCTTCCGGCCCAAATCCAGCGCACCTACCTCATACTCATCCTCGGCTGTCTTGATGTTGCACCACTTAGCGATGGGCTCGGGGATGATCTCCCACTCATCGCTGTGTTTCTCCAGCAGCCTGACAAACGTTGACTTCCCCGCAGCTGCGGAAGATTAGAGCAGGTCACAAGGGGGTGGGGGTTGATTGCTCTGGTGCTGCTGACGGACAGGGGGCAGTTTGAGGCTTGTTAGCGGCTGTTGGGGCGCGGGGCCGGCCGGCTGCGCCGTGGAGCAAACCGCGCTAATCTTTCTCGCCAGAGGGGCCGCGCCCGGCCGGGCGGGTGATAAGGGCGGCCGAGGAGCAGCCGACATTTTAGAGCTGCCGTGGCGGGCGGAGCTGAGGGGGGAGAGCGAGGGAGCGGCCGCGCAGGCGCAGGGACTTGACCCGGGCGGGCGGGAGCGAACGAGTGCTGCAGCCCCGGGGGGGGGTGGGGTGGGCATCGGGGGTTTGTGCTCCCGAGCCCGTCAAGCGCCTCGGTGTCACTGACGGGCACCCTGCTCGGGGAGCTCCCCATCCGCCCCAGCCTCGCTCCGGGTTCACGTCCCGGTGCGGCTCTCCCTGCAGAGGCCCCCACTGCCCGCAGAGCCGGTCGGCGAGCACCGCAGCCGCCCCTCTCTCTGTCTCTCCCGGCGTCCCAACCCCTTGGGGTGCTCCCGGTCTGGTACCCCCCACGTTCCCCTGGACTCCCCCGTCCACCCTGAGCCGCCTCCCGCACCCTCTCCGCCGAGCTCACCGATGTTCCCCTCGATGGAAATCTTCCTGAGGCGCTTCTGGAAGCTGGATTCGAGGGAGCCGGCGAGGCTCTGGCAGTGCCGCTTGGCAGGGGTAGACATGGCGGTGCCGAGCGGGAACTCAAGGGGTTCCCGGCTGCTCCAGCGCACTTTAAGCGTCCCGCCAAACGGGTGGGCGGGATGGCCGCTTCCCGCCAGTCCTCCCCGGGAAGAGGCGGAGGCGCTGCCCCCTCCCCCGCCGCTCCTGCCCAGCTCCTGCCGCCTCAGTGTTACAAAATGGGCGTTCGGCAAGTGAAATGGAGAAGAGAGCTTTGTGCAGGAAGTGACTGTAGCACGGTTCCACTTACTGATCTAATTTGCATTTCTGTAATCCAGTTCGCCATGTTGTTTGATTTACTTACGTAAACTTGAGCATGCACTTAAAAAAAGTCAAAAAGCCTCCAGCTGTGGGGGTGGGGTGGTTGTTAGCAGTCCGGAACATGTACTGAGGTGAGGCTGCGTAGGCTCAGTCTGTTTTGGTACTGACTGGAAAAGAAACACTTGTGGATGAATGGCGTGCAGAGCAGCCTCTGGGCTCCAAATACCTGTGCTGGGGCTCCAGGAGCCTGCTAACTCTAGGCACAGGTTCTCTATCAACTGTGTAGACAAGTTGAAACAGGAGCTGGTTATCCAAGGGGAAAGGGGATGGAGGGTTCTTAGATTATGAGTTATTCAAATTTCCTCCTTCCTCCTCGGTAATACAAGGTGAAATCTAGCTAGGTCTGGTGTGTTTGGAGGAAATGGGAGGGAATTAACTTTTCCGTTCTTTTATGATAATTGTGACCCATTGTCTCTTCTTTCCCCATCTCCTCCAAACACACCAGGCTTCAGTGACCGAAGCGAGCAGATTGTTTCACGTGGGGTAGCGTCAGCCTTTGAAGCTGGTAAGTGCTAGTTCGCACGCACGGTGCGTGCAGCCAGAGCGCTCCGCTGTCCGCGCCACGCGGGGGCCGCGACGGGCCGGGGCGGGGGCGGCAGCGCGCGGGGCACGCGCAGTGCGGCGAGCGGCGCGCGGGGCCGGGGCTTTGTTCGGCGCGGCGGGCGGGCGGCGCGTGCGCACAGGCGGCGCGCGGGGTCTCGGGGGTGGGGCCGAACCCCACCGGGGCACATGCGCCCCGCACCCACCCCGGCCACGCCGCGGCCGGTCCCGTGCTTGGTGCCCTCTCGTCACACGGCCCTCCCTGCGAACCGGCCGCGGGCGCTGCGCCATCGCCGGGGGCCGCGGGCCCGCCAGGGCGGCGACTGGGACCGCGCTCTTTGTGCGGAGGAAGGCCCGGCCCAGCGGAAGCGGGAGCACCCGCCGCCATTTCCTAGCGCGCTCTCGCTGCAGGCTCGCCCGCTCGCTGCCGCCTGACCGGGACTAGGCGCTCTCCGGACAGTGGATCAGGCTCGGAGCCCTAGAACCAGCGCGGAGCCCCACCATGTGTGCGTGCGGGGAAGGGGCAGGGCGCGGGCCGGGGGCGGGAGCGGCGCCGTGTGTGTGAGGCGGCAGCGCCCGAGGCCGAGGAGGATCAGGGAGGGCCGGGGCACAGGCCAGGGGGGCCGCCGGGCGCTCTGAGGGGGTGCGGGTGGCGGCCGTGCTGAGCAGAATCTCAAAGGGCCCGTTCTGGTCTTTCCAGCAACCACAGAAGCAGAGACAGAGCAGAGCCTCACCCCCAATGTGATGCTTAACACAGAGAGCAGCGAGGGATACGTGGTGAAAGTCCGGGGGCTGCCTTGGTCTTGCTCCACCGAGGAGGTGCAGAGGTTCTTCTCCGGTAAGTGGGGCTGTGGGGGAATAAGAGGTGTGGGAGAGGGGTTGGGCTCTGCTGTCAGTCCTGGATCCCTCCCAGGGACCCTGTGGCAGTGGGAGTGCTGTAGTGAGCAGTTGCAGGAGGCATTCAGTAGCTGGTGCAGTTTGTAGTGCAACAAGTGCTTCAGCTAGAGCCTGGGATGGAAAGCTGTGTTCTGATAGCAGGAACTCAGCACAAAGGAGCTTGGTCTGCGTTGCTGGGATAGCCACAACTGCCTTTGCTGCTTGAGCAACCAGGAGAGAGAATGTTAAATTTTAAATCATGTTCAACCTGGAGCAAGAATTTTAAAGCTAAATCAGTTCAGGTTTTTTTATTGTCCCAATACACTCATGTCTTTTGGGACAATACAAGTGTTCAGTGTGTATTCTTCCCCAAATTATTGGCATTCTGCAGTAATAAATAGTGCTGATAAATATATACTTTCTGCAGCAATTGGACCGTTTAAAACTTTGGTGTATTGGACTTGGTTCTCATACAGTTTATTGCACTTACACTGATTGTTATTATGCCTTATTTCATGCTAATAAGAAAGTTAAGATCAAAAGCAGAGAGTATGTTTGAGGCAGAAAAGCTTTGGAAATAGCTAATTTGCAATTAACCTTTATCTGTAGGTTTGACTAGAATGGTAACTTTAGTTAGCATCGTAGTTAATTTATGCATCGTAGTTAATTGGTCATTTTAAAGTTGCATTGCAACAGGAATGCTGCTGGTTTTGTTGTTATAATTGATTCTCAGTACATTTTTGGTTTTAGGCTCTCTGGAATTTTCAAAGTAACCCTGGTCCTGTAGTAATTAATGTAATTCTGGCCTTTCTGTTTTCAGATTGCAAAATTCTGAACGGGGCTTTGGGTATCCGTTTCATCTACACCAGGGAGGGCAGACCAAGTGGAGAAGCATTTGCTGAACTTGAGTCAGAGGAGGATGTGAAATTGGCCTTGAAAAAAGACAGAGAAACAATGGGACACAGATACGTTGAAGGTTTGACTCAGTTGGTCTAGTAACTGACTACATTGTGTTTGTGCTTGATGGGTTTTTGGTTAATTGCATTTTTTGTCCCTTTAAAATGCATGTGAAAGGACAAATGGACTTGCATATCATAAACTGACTAGTTTCAAGGCAAATGACTTTAAAAACTGTTCCTTACTCCAGAATGCATTAATTCTAAGTGCCTTTTACAGTTTTCAAGTCAAACAACGTTGAAATGGATTGGGTTCTGAAGCATACTGGTCCCAACAGCCCTGATACAGCTAATGATGGTTTTGTACGTCTTAGAGGACTCCCATTTGGCTGTAGTAAAGAAGAAATTGTACAGTTTTTTTCAGGTATGTGGGATAAAAGTAGTAGCTGTAGCACTATTGGTTTATGCTAAAAATACCCCAACAAACCAAACAGGCATGGATTGCCCATGTAGTAGTACATCCAACAGTATTATCATGGGTATTAAAAGTAAATAAAGCAATTATTCTCTAGTTTTCTGGGCATGAGGAATCCTTTGGATCACTTCCTAAAATACTTGATAATTAAATCATTTACGGAATGCCAGAAAGGTGCTTGAATTTATACTTGGTGGGACATGCTGTTCCAAAAAAAGGATTATAGAAAAGTGTCTTGCTTTCCAAATAAAGCTGAACAGTTCATTTGGGAGGCTGCTTCCACCCCCAGCCTTGGATGATTTGCCCTGGTCAGTGAAGGATGTAGATACACATCACTGGGCTTTGTGTGAGGAGCAGGTTCTCAGTAAAGGCCCATGACCTCTTCCCAACATAGAGCTAGTATTGGGTGAAATGCAGAGAAAACCTGCTGAACTCTACCCACAGATTTACAGATTTGCCCCTTTCTCCCTATGGGGATAAAAATCCCACCAGACCCTTGATGTTGCCTAGCTCAGAGTTTTTATGGATGAAGAGATAATGTCTTGTTTTGACTAATTTTTACCTTTTTTGCAGCTGTTTTATGTTTACAAACTGGAATTAGACTATTAAAATGTCTTAAGAATGGAATATGTTGATTGTTTAGGATTTCACTTGTTATTATTTTGAAAATACTAGATTTCTTAATGTTTTGCTATTAGAAGATATGATGAAGCTTGCTGTTTTGCTTTAAAATACAGTAGAAACATTTCCAGTTTTACAATCTCAGAACTTGTTTTTTTTTTTTTTTTGTTTTGTTTTCTGAATTGGTGATATGAACAAGAGCAATTTCTAAGCATGTACATTTTAAGCTGTTTTTTTCTTACATGGTGAAGTAATTCAAGCTTTATAAGTTGTAATGTGCTTAATATACAAAATGTGTCTCTTCTGTTCAGGAACTAATACTTAAAAATTACTTCATGATTTTTTTCTTAATTAAGCACTCCTAAAGATAAAAAAAATGCTGAAACTTGATGTTTGCATAAGACTTAATTATTTTACATGACTTCTAGTAAAATTACTTGTTCTATATAAAGCTGTTTTAACTTGCTGTGTTTGAATTTAAGTTCTCTTTAAAAAGTTCATCTTAAATACTTTCACAGAATTGACGAGGTTTGTAATGATGTGTGACGTTCTTAACGCACCCTGCATTAGATGCCTTCTCTGAGGGGCTGTCCCTGACCCTCAGAGCATTTCTGAGCTCTGCAGGGTGGGTTAAGAACCTGAACTGAATGGTATGTGATCGTGGAGCTCTTTGTTGACGTGCCTTTTTTATTCTGGTGTTCTAGAATCAACATACCATTCGCTTAAAAGTGTTTAAATTCTGGTGTTTTTAAAGCTATAAGAAAAAATTCATGACTGGGCTTGTGATGTTAATATTGCCCCCCTACTGGGGTTATTTGTCCTTGGGTTGAAGGGTTGGAAATCGTGCCAAATGGGATAACATTGCCGGTGGACTTCCAGGGGAGGAGTACGGGGGAGGCCTTCGTGCAGTTTGCTTCACAGGAAATAGCTGAAAAGGCTCTAAAGAAACACAAGGAAAGAATAGGGCACAGGTGGGGATGGATGGTTGGTTGGCTCTGTCACTTTTCTTATGGTAAACAATTAAATCCATATTCTCTCTTCTGAAAGTGCTAACACCCAAATCAAAATAGTATTGTGGTCTCTAACTTGGTGATGAGTAAAGGTATTGATTGCTACAGTGTGTGTGGCACAGACTGTTCAGATCTACCCAAAAATACAAGATAAAATTGGACTAAACTAAAATGTGCTTTGGAAAATGAGTAATAACAGGCATTCAAAACTATAGCTTGGAAATGACAAAGTTGAGAGACTATGGCTTTAACTTCTCAAATAGCACCAATTCTGCCTTTAGCTCTAAAGACATGCACAGTATTCTTACTACCATAAGAAAATGTGATACTTTCTAAACTTGTTTTATAAGTTGAAATGTAACAAATTTACTTACTTGTATTAATCTTCAATGTAATAAGCATAGCTTTCAAGAAATTGTCACAAAGGGTTTTTATTCAATTTTTACTTGTGACTATTTTTCATTGAAGCATGCACCTTTTGCCTACGCTGAATCACTGAAGCATAGGCTGGGTTCAGTAGTACATGCAGAGCTTTTTGTGGCATCCTGATGGGTTAAACTCTCGGTGGAGATCGGGTTTTTAACCCTCTGTTTCTGTTGCCTTGAGCAACAGTGCTGAGTTGAGTGGACACTGGTCCCTCCTACATTGTTTGACTAACATTTTAAATTGGGGGGAGGTGGGTGGGGAATCAATATTGCTCCCCCACCCTTAAGGCTGGGATACTGCAAAGTATAAGGAGCACATAAACCCTTCAGTAATTTTAATTTCTTGAAAATACACTGATTTAAATGTAATGTAGTGCTAATAATAGAAAGTCATTGCCTACATAATGTAAAGAAACCTGGCTTAAAATTACTGCCAGTATCAAGGCTATGACTAAATGGCTTGTTGTAATGTGAAGTTGTGAGGTGTTTGTGGAAGGAATCAAGGACTGACTTCTCCCTGTGCAAACACTCGTAGGTACATTGAGATCTTCAAGAGTAGCCGAGCAGAGGTGCGCACTCACTACGACCCTCCCCGCAAGCTGTTGGCCATGCAGAGACCTGGTCCGTACGACAGGCCCGGCCTGACGCGCGGATACAACAGTCTGGGTAGAGGAAGTAGCTTGGAGAGAATGAGGCGTGGAGCCTACGGAGGAGGTAAGTGCACGGAGGCCCAGGGAGCTGCTCGTTTGAAAAGCAGCAACTCCTGGACCTGGTAGTGTCTCCCCAGCTGTGTATGTGTCCTTGGCCTTAATTCTTGTAGAAGAAATGAAATGTTGTAGTAGTCGTTGTTTGCAGTGTGTACTGTGTATTTGGATCTTTCTGTAGTCGAAATGAAAGTTTATTTGGATCTTTGTGTAGTTGAAATGAACATGTCCAATCTGTTTCTAGGTTATGGAGGTTATGATGACTACAATGGGTATAATGATGGCTATGGGTTTGGTTCTGATAGATTTGGAAGAGGTAAGGATCTCTAATAGGAACAGTAACTGAACTTACGACATGTCCCAAAAGAAACTAAAATACATCTGAAAGACCTAGAATGGACTCTTTTCTCCGCAGGGATGTCGGACCACAGGTACGGCGACGGATCGTCCACCTTCCAGAGCACGACCGGCCACTGCGTCCACATGCGAGGTCTGCCCTACAGAGCCACGGAGAACGACATCTACAACGTGAGTGCCACACGCTGCTCCCCAGTGCATGGCTTTGGGTCCTGGGGTCCTCGTGGGGACCTGCCAGCTGCACTGCAGCTGCGGCGTTCCTCTGGAGAAAATGGCTTGTTGTAAACCCAAACTGTTGCATTGGTGCGTTTTAATCTGTGTGACTGTTCCGTGTGTAGTTCTTCTCACCTCTGAACCCTGTAAGAGTACACATTGAAATCGGACCAGATGGCAGAGTAACCGGAGAGGCAGACGTTGAATTTGCTACTCACGAGGACGCAGTGGCTGCTATGTCCAAAGACAAAGCAAACATGCGTAAGTCCGACTGCTCGGAAGAGGTGGCTTTAGGGAGCTGCCAGCACTGCCGTGTAGTGCATCTGCTGCAACTGGAATGCCAAAGATTTCACTGCAGTTTCACTTACACTGAGTTTGCCTGCATGGGTTTGGTGTGAAATGCTCTCATGGGAAAACTTTCTTCTTCCAGAACACAGATATGTAGAACTCTTCCTGAATTCTACAGCAGGAGGAACTGGTGGTGCCTATGGCAGTCAGATGATGGGAGCAATGGGTATGTAACGGTCTCACTGCGCTTGCAAGCTGGCTCGTTTTGTACAGCTCGTGCTTTATTGTGTGCCTGGCATCAAAACTGAAATTCAACATTCTGTCTTAATCACACAGTCAAGGAGTCGGAAGGGGTGGTCCAAGATTGGAACACTAGCACATTGCCAGGTATATAATCCTTTTGGGAATACATTTGAGCTTTAATAGGTTGAATATAAACTTGATGCTGAGTGTGGTATGCCTGATGGGATGAGTGGCTTCTTTGGGAGTGTGGTAGTGCAAAATGTGGGAGATGCCTGTCCTCTTCATTCTCGTTCCCCTTCCCTGTTTGGGGGATACCAGAACACAGTTCGGTGATGGAGGATGTATCTGTGGCATGTGACCGGCCATTCAAGCTGAGTCTTGGTGGTGAGAGAGAGATACTTGGAATTGGGAGAAATTGTCTGAAGCTGTGGCAAGCCCCAAAATTGTTTAAAAATCTAAAATGTGTGTTTGCAGCACAAGTCTTAAATGCCTGTTGCTGTTACGCCTCTAAGACAGATACCCTCCTGACACCCAGCTGGGCTGGTTTCGGAGATGAAGGTGGGGTTGGTTTCTGGGGGGCCCCTTTCTCTTGAGGGTGGGGGGGGGTGTGGATACACTGCTGTTTTTATAGTATTTGGTTACAAAATGTTTGTAGTTCTAATGCTGAAACTACAGAAAGGAGTGTGGGCAAGTGATGTGGTCAAGAGCAGCTGCTTGTTTAAACAGAGGTATCTCTGTGTGAGCCACAGCACTGCTCTGATGTGATGCACAATCAGTCGGGGGCAGGAATAAGTCTGTCAGGACCATGTACACATGAGTGACTCCAGTTAATGAGCTTCTGTGCTTCTGGAAGGGCAGCACTCAGTGTGAGGTCCCTTAAAGCCAAGCTTAAGTTTTTTGGGGTGTGTTAAAGTGCAGATTGATCCTGTTTAGTATAGTCCACAGAAATTGTAAAAGTAACTTCTAAAGTTCTTGTTGCTGCTTGATTGCAGGGATGTCTTTAGAAACCCCATCACTTTCCTTGAGCATGTTAAACTTCCCTTGGTGTGAGCAAGGTAGTGCCAGAGTGCAGGGGCTGTTGGTTGGGTGAGGGCTGGGTTTGTTGATGATGAGCAGATCTTGACCCGCAAGTTCTTAATCTTTTTACCCTTAACTTAAAAGGGAGCCAATCCAGTTACGGTGCTCCAGGCAACCAGCAGCTGAGTGGGGGTTATGGAGGAGGATACGGAGGTCAAAGCAGCATGAGTGGCTATGGTAAGAGCATTTCTTTGCTGGTTTCCATTGGGCCAGGTGCAGCTGGCTTAACATGCCCTTCACTGGTGTTAAAGGGTTGTGTTATAACCTGGGCAGCACAGGCTCTGAACGTTAAAGGTGTGGCTGCTGTGAATTTTGGGGAATGGGGGGATCGATTCAAAGCTGCAATGGGGAGCTGGGGGGGGGAAATGTGGAAAACTATTCTGAAAGGGGCAGGAAATGCCAGTCTCAGACTCGCATTGCTCTGATCACTTTTCTTAACCCGAAAGCTGGAGACCAGCTTTGTTTAAACACAGTACAAATGGGGGAGGGGGTCATGGGAGGCTGGGTCCTCCCTATTCCCCCAGAGCAGTGGTAAAGCTCTGGCTTGGGAAGGGGGTGATGCAGAGCTCGTGCTGTCATTGAACGTCCGATAACTGGCTTTGGGTACGGAGCTGTAAACTGACACTTTGCAGCATTGGGCACGGTAGACGGTATTTACGAGGTGGCCCAGCAAGGACAGGCGTTGGGGCAAGGATGCTTCGAGTCGGCCTGAGGCAGCTGTGAACCTGCTGTCGGTTTCCCCCTCAGACCCCGGGAGCCAGGGCGCCATGAACAGCAGCTACTACAGCAGTGGGAACCGCGCATCCATGGGAGTGAACGGCATGGGCGGCATGTCCAACATGTCCAACATGAGTGGTGGCTGGGGAATGTAACCAATCGCTGACTTTTGGTCACATCTTTTTTAAAAAACAAAAAAACAAAAAACTAAGTTTAACAGTTTTGCAATACGAGCTTGTGATTTATGCTTTACTGTAAGTGAATTCAGGATTGTTTTAAAACCTTTCAGGTTCAGTATTTTTGAACATACAGAAATGAACATTCATCTAGGATGTAATAACCAAGTAAAGACTATAACTGTTAAACAATTTGGAGCGTTTCTCAAGTTAGTTTTGTTGTAGGAGTGTATTTAAGCAGTAAGCGTATTTAGGTTAAAGCTGTTTGAATTATGTTAAATGTTGCTCTTATACCATATTACATCCAACACTGTTTTGAATACATGTTGAAAGAGACATGCTTTTTTGTAAAGAACCAATATAGGAGCTGTGTCTGAAAATCAAAGTGAACATTTGGCATGTTAGTTCTAGTTTATTTCTTTTAATATCCTGTAAGGCATGTTAAAGCTTTTTTTTTTTTTAAGTTAATGGGGGAAACATGTTGAGACGCAATACGGCTACTTTAGGATTTTGGTCTTGGTGTTCGTATAAAATTCTGAGGCCTTGATTTAATCTTTCATTGTATTGTGATTTCCTTTTTAGGTGTATTGCGCTAAGTGAAACTTGTTAAATAAATCTTCCTTTTAAAAACTGGAACTCACTCCTTCTTGACCTCCAGCTTCTTGTAACCATACTTGCACCCATGTCCTCTGACTGTCGTGCTCTTGCCCTGCAGCTGCCCCCAGTGACTCCTGGGAGAGCACTGACCCTTAGAGTGTTACAGTGACAACTGGGGGGGAGCAAAGGCCACCACCCCTGCTGCTGGGGGTGCCCAGCGGGCGTTGGTTCAAAGCTCTGCATGGCTGTGCCCTGAGCAGGGGGCCTGGGCCCTAAAACTGCTGGGGGGCTGAGAGGTGATTCTGTACTTTCCTGTAGGCATCCGTGCACTGGGCAGCTTACTGCAACCATGTTTCAATAAATGTAACTTGTCAAACACCCTGCTTAAAGATGTGATTTTGTAAGCAACATAGTTACAGCTTTTCAAGCACTGCAGCTGCCCCTGAAATAGGGAATCTGCTTTCATGCAGTCAGTGGTCATAGTATTTTGTTTGTCCATGGCAAGGAACTGTTTGTCCTGAAGGGTTAACCTGGGGTCCTTTCTACAGTGATGAAAGTGTCCTCCTGTTCTGTAGCAGAGGAGCTGTAAGGGTGGAATTCTGAGCACTGGGTATTTCAGCCATGGCTGGCTGCCATGAAAACAGCCTGCTTCCTGAGGGGAATGCTGACTAAGCTCAACTCAGTGGACACGTGGCCCTGCTGTGTCTCGGAGCTGGGGCAGAGTGGGGATCACCCCTGGCTTTGCACTGTTCACATGGAGCCTCTGGAAGAAGCTCGTGGTTGTAGAGCTGCCCTGGAACCTGGGGCACACACGGCTGCTGTTGGGTGCTGCTTGGGGACAGGGCTGCCTTCACTGTGCTGCTGTGCACTGGCACAGGAACACGAACTGCTTTGGGATCCCTGGTACAGCCAAGCCCAGGCCTGGCAGAGCAGGGCCCAGGGTCGCCTGGGGGCTGGAGCAGCAGCTGCTCCCCTCTGTCCCAGGCGTGGACACAGTGAGCTGGAGCTGCTGACCTTTTTTTTCTGGAAAAGTATGAAAGCAGTTCCAGCTGCAGAGCAGTGGCTTCACCTGGCACCTTCCAGGGAATACTGCAGCTCTGGTCAGGTATCCCAGACACATTCTGCTACCTTTAGCTTAAACCCTGGATATGCATGGCTGGAAAAACATTCTCCTCTAGCATCTGTGACTGATAGGTGTTAAAAATGGCAACTTCACTTGCTTTCAGTTTTTGCAAAAGACTTTATTGTGTAACTACTGCACTGTGGTCACAGCGACTTCCAGAACAAGTATAATGTGCAGTTTTGACTCCGCAGTGAACCGAAGGCACATTCATTGACACTCCTTATAAAGCTTTCTATAGACAATTCATAAATTGACCTTTTCCTCTCTGACTGACTTAGAGCAAATACAAAACTGTACACGAGCCAGGGGAACACACAGGAGCACCTACAGTGAAGGTAAAGAAATTAGGTTCATGTACAGAGAGACAATGATGTCTACAGGGATCAAATAAATGTAGAAATGCCATATACAAATTTTAATACAAATATCTATAAAAATCAGAAAAATGAATCTTAGTTTCAAATAGAACTTTTGGGGAAATTACAGTTGATATAAGCTTCTTAATTATTTCAGTTGGAGAAGCATTAGCTTGCACAATCCCTACAAATTAATTTACACTGCCTTTACAGTGGAAATTAGCAGACCAGCCAGTCCAGTCTGCTGAAGACAGAAGACACCTGCAATTCAGAATTAAAAAAATAATGGCTACTTTCCAATGTTAAAGTGGCTCTGTCAAGGGTGGGAGAGCCTTAGGAGGAGTTAGAGGAGCACTGCTGGAGCAGCAGCGTGTGACAGTTATCACAGACACGGACAGGTTTTGGGTAGGATGGCAGCGCGAGTTCGTTACTGGAACAAGTGTTGCAGAAGATGTCCCCGCAGTTTCTGCAGTGGTGCTACAAAAAAGAGTCAGAATGAGCACAGCTGCCTAAAAACAGCATCGGGAAGAGAGAAGTCAGGCCTTTGGAACTGTGTCCGAGTCCACTGAGTTCCTCCACTTCCCACCAAGCCCAGCCCTCCCAGCAGCGCTTCCCCGTGCGCAGGGCCGAGCACAGGGCGCGATCCCGGCCCTCTCTCCGCGGCCGGGAGCTGCGCCCGCCCCGGCTCGGGCACAGCCGGGGACAGGAGCCGGAGGGGGAGCGGGCCTGGCCGCGGAGGGAGGGAGTGACTGCGCCGGCCCGCCCGCGGCTGTCGGCTGCCCGCGCTGTCCCACACCGCGGGCCGGGCACGGAGCAGCGCCTGCTCAGCCGGGAAGGGAGCCTGAACACAGCTACAGCAGCTCTCCACCGAGAGCACCGAAGCAGGGGGCAGTATGGCTTTTTGGGTGGTAAATGCCAAATTATTCCCTATATATTTATCATGCCAACAAGATTTGGAATTGAACAGGTTCAGTCTTCCCTAGCAAGGTACGCAACAGCACCACTTTTGTTTGTCATGGATTATTTAAAAATAATCTGCTGAACGACATTACCTTCCTTCTTGAGATGGAGAATTCCTTTTTACATTGCTTGCAATGAGTTGCTTCATCATCCTTCAGCCACGTATGACCCTGAAAAATTGGTATGAAAACCACCGATGGAGATACAAATAAACTTACAGGCATTTTACCAACGATGTTGGTATTTTTCAAAAGCCACCTTTTAAAGCAGAATAACCATGGTGAAATTTGAAGGTGTTACATGAAATTCATATGCTTAGTCAAAATATCCATGAGAAAGTACCTTTAGTGCTTTATTTACTTCTTTAATGTCTTCCATCTTCAACTTCGATCTGGAAAAAAGAAATTATGCCCTGCATGACTTTTTATTTAGTTGTGTTTGGTTTTCCCTGCCATTCTACTGTCGAGCCACTGAAACCAAACCCCAATTCTTCAGGCAGCTCCCTGTTACCCATCTGAACCACTCACTATCACTGGGAAACTTTGTCAACTCAGGGTTTGCCCCTTTTTCAGTATAAATAGAATAATGCAGGAAAAGCACAATTCCATTATAAGAACGAAACATTTCCTTTAATGTTTCCTCTCAGCCAGCTCACTCTGACACTCCCTCACTTTCATTTCATGGCTCTTTAGTTTCTCATACATAGTAATTGCCCACTAAAATTCTCACATCAATTGATTTTTATAAGTAAATGGGGTTTAAAATTCTTGGCATTAGTCTGATACTCCAGCTTACATCACTTACAGGAGTTCTGTTCCCTAGAACTTACTGGCTGAGATGAAGTCCCATTTCTTGAAGAGCTTGCTCCTGCTCCTCACGGACCTTCTTCAGCTGCTGCTTCTCATCTTGCAGTTTTCTCAGCTCCTATAAAATCAAGCACAGAATTAAATTTTTTGTGCACTGCTTGACCTATAACCTCGATCAGTCTACCCAAACTACCCAAGCAGTTCACAAGAATCAGCTCCTTTGCAAATACCCCTATTTCTAAGGCTTGATTTTTAAAATTACAAGGGGGAACTACCCACAGGTTCTGCACAAACAATGGAATCGTTTAACTATATTTACCAAGAAAAGGAAGATTCTCAGGCTTTGAACATCCTTCAAAATAGCTAGAAAATGGCAGCCCTGTGCCAACACAGGAGCACACAGACAGGTACAGGTACACAACTGTGTCCTCAGAAACTGCTCAAATGGCAGCAAATCCCCTTCAGGTTAAAAAGAATGTTCATGCTTAAAAAAGAAATCACATTCAGTTGTTCTGAATGCTTGAAACTGTGCATACCTTTTTCAGTCCTTCCATCTGTTGCAATTCTGTTTTAAGCAGAGTGGTTGCATCCTTCTCTTGGTGCAGTTCTTTTTGCAAAGTTTGTCTCTGTTCCTTTTCAGATTTTAACTCCTTTTCCAGAGTTGAGCTATTTAAAAATAATTCATTCTAAAAAAAAAACCCTATAGCAGAAGAATATCCTATAGCACTTAAGGATAGCAACAGTGTGAGAAGTAGAAATCTTGTCCAAAAGAGGGCAAAACTAGAGTAGTGTTCTGGGAAAGAACAGGCAGCAGATGTCAAAAATGTTAACACTGTTAACATTTAACATATGTTAACATTTTCAAGTCACAGAAAACAAACAGCAATGAAGGTCTAGAAGAAAAACAACAACCAAAAGACCCCCAAAGAAACCAATCCCCATGAATTAATATTTCACTACCTGTGTTTAAACTGCCATGTTTAAAAGGGACACTCTATCCTGCAGGCTGAACAGTGAAAGAAGATTTTTCTATCAGTCTTAGAAATCTTTAGAGGATTAACATTCCTAAGAAAACACCGTAAGTCCCTTCAAAAATCCCAGTCCCTTTGGATGACAGTCAGTTCTACGCTCAGCCTGCAAGCATGACCATCCCTATCTCCTGATTTATTAAAAAAGCAATTGAAAACTCCATTGCTAGTTGGAATGGGCAGATTTTTGCTGCCATTCTATGCTCTAAATTAGATGTTCTGGAAAAAACATGTCAAAATTCTGATGCTAACTGCATACTGTATAGAAGTGTTGTGCTTCCCTGGGTCCTGTCTGTCAATGCTGAAGCCAACAGAATTACAAATTCACCCCCTTCTTAGACCTGAGCATAAAAGGAGTAGAAAACACTTAAAGAAATGGCAAAGGGAAGGAAAACACCTGCTCAGATTAAATACCATTTGCTGTCCAGCTGGGCCATCTGCTGCCGACATGAGTCGAGCTTCCCAGCCAGCTCCTGCTTCATCTTATTGCACCGTTCCTCTGCTGCCTGCCTGGCCTTCTCTGCCTGCTGCAGCCTGCACAGGAAGGGACAAAGACATTTGTTTGCAATTCACTCCTTCCCTGCACCCTCTTCTTTTAGAGTTACCACAGGGATCTTTACAAAAGCTTGAACTGAAAATGGTAGTGGAGAAAAAAAAAAAGACTTTCGAAAGCAGTTGTTTCTGAAAAAAACCCAAAAGCAAAGTCACATCTTAAAGTGAAGTTAACACGTTTTTCAACAGCCTGCTTATGGAAAGAGCTATGGTT